CTGTAGGACTAATTTTTTTTGTAACTAAACTGAATAAATTAATAAAGTCTTAAAAATAGATGATGTTCTTATTACTCACCTTAAAATCATATCAAGCCGTTCTTTTAATGAAATACTTTTACGCATAATTGTGTCTTTTTTACTCAATTGAATATCCAAAATTTTATGAAGTTCTTCAAACGACTTCACAGACATTCGAAAACAATTAAAAAACTTTGATGGATCTTGCAATAAATCTTGATACAGCAAATTATACGTTCCCTTGGTTTCTCCTAATTCTACAATAGGATGAACTCACAAATTACGTCGACTTTTCAGTTTCTTTTTCTTTTTATTTAATATGTACCACAGCATAACACACTCTTCTACATCCATAATAAAAAAACTATAACCGCACTGCACTGCTTATGTTTTCATACTGACGAGCATGCATGTGAATACAATACAGCCATCGCAAATTCTGTATCTAGCATACAGTATTTCGCATACAGTGTCCTCGTCTGAAAGCCCTCTAAGGGAATAACGAAACCTTGAAGTTGTGCATTATTAATAACGCTGAAAAGTATTGCTTCTTCTTTTGTTGGAAAATTTTGCTGGGAGACAGCTGAAGAATAAGATTTATTCTCTGGGACAATCTGTATAGTAACATCTGATTTCCTGCAAAAAACAGACTGGTTTTTATAATCCATATACGTGTGTCTATCTATAATTGCTGTAGTAGACTAACAAGGATAAAAAACTAACAAAACTGGTTAAAAAAAAATTATTCTTGCTACCTCTTCAAATTTTTAATTGACGGCGCTTATAGGACGAAAAATTATTTTTCATCAAAACATCCCTATTAATAGTATATCAAGGTTACCAAATTCCGGATAACTTTCGCTTTCATTATTATCTTTATTGCTTTCAAAGTTTTACATACAAACAATGTGTGTAATGCTCATTAACGAGATAATATATTATATAATATATTACGAGTATTAGTTTATAATCTTATCATTCCATCTGTTAATTGTGTGTTATTTATTAAGTATATACGCGACAAATGTCAATATTTTTGGGAGATTTTAAAATATTGCAACGAATTTTTTGTCAATAATTTTAAGTAAGCTCGATAATTTGTTTTGGACTACCAGATGATTTATCACAGTACTATTTGCATGTTAATATACGGTGCTCTTGATATGTCTGTAAGTGAAGACTTATAAAAAAAGTCGTGTGAAGTGTTATGTGTTATATAAAAAGTGAATGTTGGTTGAGATGTTTACCAATGGTGCACTACATTCTTGGATCCAGCGGTCCATAGGTACAGAAAACTTTACATTTACTGTTGAAAATACGACCCAAAAAGGAGAGGGGTATATAGGGGACTTATTTTTCGTTAAAATTGTTTTGCAACAACCTATTAATGGAAAAGACGTTCTTTATCTGGTCGCAAAGACGACCAGATAAAGAATGTTGCAATGGTAATAAGCTAATAAGTATATATTTTACATGTCCACTTTTCCAGCGGTTATTAAAAAGTTTGTGGTATCTCTACCCAATCTTGGTTTTTCAGGACGAAATATTTGTAATTCCTTTTTGTGAAAAGATATTGGATGCTTCCTTAAACCTGACGTGTTTTTATTTTTCGTATTCATTTCAACCTTTCTATGTAGATATAATTTTCACAAAGCAATTTGGGATGCATGAATAATTTCGTAAAACTCATCAAATTTGCTTTTAGGTCTTTCAAATCTATAATTCCAACGCTCACTACTCCGACCAGAACTATTTAAATCTTTGTCCCTCATGTCAAATTGTAAACTTGTCACTCCGGGAACAACAAGGATTAGATGAAAAACAATTATTACTACATTAGACTCGAAGGAAAGCTCAATTGGGAATAAAGTTTAGTGATGTCCAAAAAGTAACTACTACTATAATAGTCACTTTATGTCCGTTACTATCCGATACCTTAAGTATCTAATAACACACCGAGATGTATCGTTACTCCGTTATTCTAAATATTTCGGTATTTTGTTTACACGCTAGGCGACATTATCTGTTATTTATTTGTCTCGTTACTGTTGAATACATATTAGCCGCACACTTTTAGCAAATTTTGTTTAACCAAATGATCTCACAATAAGCAGAAACAATGTAATTTTTAGTCTTAGGCCGATAAGATTTGTTTATTTAGATTCCTCCTTACTAAATTCTAATGGGAAAAAAGTTGAAATATTGAGAGTTTCTGTAACAATAAGTGTTATTTTTTTATTAGCTAAGATGACATATTTTTAAAAAAATTCGGTACAATATTACTGTCGAAATGCAAGAAGATTATTTTCTGACTAGAGGGCAGCTATTCTCAAAATCCAGACAATTAATTTCAGAGCGAAGAAGTCGCCTGCTAAAAAATAATGTACAAAATATTTTATTTTTACATTGTAATGATGACTTCTGAGCATGTGTCAAATGTGTTTTTTTAATGAATATTTTGATTCAGTATGTATGTTTATGGTATTGTTAGTAATACGCAAGTCCAGTTTTTCAAATTTTTAATACATATTTTTGTATAGACAACATACCAAAGGTTCTAAACCAGGGCTCGGAAGACATACCAGATGTTACTGTTGATGAAATCAAAAAAGCTCTCCTACAAATTAAAAATAATAAGTCACCTGGCGACGACGGGGTCGTTGCCGAAGCCATAAAATTAGGAGGCGAGAAACTGATACAAATGCCTTCCATACTTTTCACAGAATGCCTTGAAAGAGGAACAACACCATCACAATGGCAAAATGCAGTGATCATTCTAATGTTTAAGAAAGGAGATTTAACAAATCTCGTAAACTATAGACCAATCAGCCTTATCTCACACATATACAAGCTTTTTACAAAAGTCATAACAAACAGACTTTCGAACAAAATGGACTTTTACCAATCATGCGAACAGGCAGGATTCAGGTCAGGCTTTGGCACAAACGACCATCTACAAGTTATTAAAAGCCTCATCGAAAAATGTATAGAGTACAATAAACCCCTCGTCCTAATATTTGTGGATTATGAGAAAGCATTCGACACGGTAAACCACCAGAAAATGCTAGAAGCTTTAAAAGAGTGCCGAATAGATCACCGCTACACCACTGTCATTAAAAATATTTATGATAATGCCACGGCATGCGTCAGACTCCATGAAGATACACACAAGTTCAACATTCATCGTGGAGTTTGCCAGGGCGACACCATTTCACCAAAACTGTTTACAACATTATTGGAATACATGTGTAAGCGTGCAAACCTAGACGAAAAGGGCATAAACATAACTGGAGAGCAGCTTAGTCACCTCAGGTTCGCGGACGATATAGTCCTGATAACAGACCGCATAGATCATGCCATCGAAATGTGCGAAAGACTCTACCATGCCTCTACACAAGTGGGTTTAATTTAAAGATCAATAACTCAAAAACACGAGTGATGACAAACCTTGTTCTGAGTGAGAACATCAACATAGCTGGAACAAGTATAGAACAAACATCAGCATACAAATATCTGGGACACGAAATTCGCTTAAGTAGAGATAACCAGACCAATGAACTAATACGTAGAATAGGGTTGACATGGGCAGCTTATGGAAAGCTAAGAGATGTTTTCCAATCAGCTCTTCCCATCTGCTTGAAGAGAAAAGTCTTCGATCAATGTGTGCTGCCGGTTCTAATCTATGGTGCGGAGACGCTAACACTTACTAAGACGTCCACAAACAAAATCCGAACAACACAGAGGGAATGGAACGGTCCATGTTGGGATTAACCCTGAGAGACCGAATACCCAACACAGAATTGCGCCGTAGATCGGGAGTAACCGACGCAATCAAAAGAATATCAACCTTAAAATGGAACTGGGCAGGGCACGTCGCGAGAACGAAGGATGGCAGATGGACAAAACGCATTCTTGAGTGGAGACCCAGACAAGATGCCTTTAGGAATAGAGGACGACCACCAACAAGATGGACGGATGACCTGAAACGGACACATCAAAATTGGATGCAGGCGGCTCAGGACAGAAATTTGTGGGGTGAACTACGGGAGGCCTATGTTCAGCAGTGGACGAGTATGGGCTGAATGATGATGATGATATAAGCATATACCCGAACTACTATACTCGCAAAAACGACACTCAGTCCTAACTGCAAGAGTCTCGCAGGCTTAGTCTTGTTCGTGCTTAAATCTTGCAATATTAGTTTTGGTCTTGGTCTTGCTAAAATTAGCCGGTCTTGGTCTTGGTCTTGCAAAAACGCAAGAACAAGACCAAAACTGCAACACCAAGACCGATTTTGGGCAACACTGGTAGTAAGCGAACAATAGTCATTTGATTGTTGTAACTGAATAAAACAGTTTTTGTTGGGAATTTGTTATTTTTTCCTAAATTTGATAGTACAGAAGAATTATTTCACGTGTTTGGTGCAAAAATGATGCAATTCCAACTTTTAAAATTTGTTTTTCTTACTTTTTCAAAAATTATCTACTTGAAAATGTTCTCAAGTATTGACTAAATCTGATTGTCATTGATTAATATTATCTTTCGGTTTAAAATAAACACTTTTAATAATTTTTTTTTTCATTTTCCATCAACTACCAAATATGGAGCTGCGTCCATCTTACAGCAAACTGTTCAATTACTTTTAGGACAACCAATTCCAGATTGTTATATCGATTGCAGTTAAATTCTTTAAGAATGTGTAGGTATAATATAATATTTATTTAAAATACTATTCGTCAATTGTCTGTTACATATTTATGTAATGTGTAATGATTTATGTATTATGAGTTTTAGGTTTATTGATATTATAGTAGATATATAATATAGATATATAATTTTAGATAAGCCAGATATTTGCTTCTACATAGCAGACGATTAGATTTTTCTCAGTGGTATTTTGCTGATTCAAAATATCAAACAGTGCTGTCGATGTACAAAAAAGTATACAATTATAAAAAGTTTTTTGTGAACTGTAAATAATGGCCGAGATATCTATTAAAGACAAACTACATTCTTGGATTCAGCGTTCTATCGGTACAGGAAACTTTACTTTTACCGTTGAAAATACAACTCAAAAAGGAGAGGGTTACATAGGAGAATTATTTTTTGTTAAAATTAATTTACAACAACCGATTGACGGAAAAGACGTTCTGTATCTGGTTATAAAAATGAACAAAAAGAATCCTGGATCAGAAAAAGCTGTTTCTATATTGCAGGATCTTTGCAAGAGAGAAGTATTCTTTTACAGTACAATTCTTAAAGAATACAGGGAATTTCAAAATGACAGAAAGCTTTCAGTTCTTATCGACATAGTACCCAAGTGCTATCAAACTTTTTCAGAAAATGACAATGAAGTTATTATTTTAGAAAATTTAAAGAAAGAGGGCTATGTTCTACATCCGAGAGAACAGCCCATGAATGTTGCACATCTAGAAATGGGCTTGAAATCTTATGCAAAGTTACATGCCATGTCTTTCGCTCTAAAAGATCAAAACAAAGAAATTTTTGAAAATATGTCAAAAACCTGTACCTCCTTAGTGAAAGAGATGTTTTTAAATTTAAAAACAATGTTTGATACAAGAACACATACATTGGTGGAAACTTTAAAAGAAGCTGGTAGACCAGATTTATCGATTGTGTATGAAAAGTACATAAACGACAAAAGTATTTATAACAGATTTATGGAAGTAAGTGATACTATTTCCAAAGATCAAGCACTAATACATGCTGATTGCCACAATGGGAATATGATGTTTCAATATAAGTTATGTTATGTTAAATTTTTCTTCTCATATTTTAGATTGATTACACAATTATTATTGGTCTCTTACTGTTTGTTACTAGGGTGCATACCTATTTGAATTAAATTTTTTTTTCGAAATTTTTTTCTAAATTTGTTATCTAGGTGTAGCTTTATATCATGTCGTTTTTCCATATTTTGCACTATCATAATATTTTCTAATATTTTAGATAATTTGATTTTGTTTTTTAATGTTTATTGACTTTCTATTTTTTTGTAGTTTTTGTACATATTTTGTTGGGAAAAAACAACAAATTTTAAGATGGCCTTATGACTAATACATTATTCGGTATCGTGTGTTGTAAATATAAATAGGACAAATGATAAAATAGTGGCTGATGTGAGTTCGTAAGAACTAGATTAGCAATATAGAGAAGGGTACTTACAATCAAAATAAATTAATGTTGTTTGCACCAGTAACTTCCAACTATATTTTAATCTTTATTTTTTTCTGAAATGGAGTGGAAAGATAGTACTATTGAATTCAACCAGAAGGCACACGAGAACTGCACAGAGTCCACACGAAACCTAAGCCCCCATCAGATTGCCTACCAACCACAACTACCCCTTATTCGACGCTGAATATGTCTGGACCAGATCATTAGAGAACGAAACATAGTGTTATCTTGCGCAGTCTAGAAGGTTGTTCTTGTAGAAGGTCTTGGGGCTTATCCTACGATGCATACCTATAACGGCATATACCTAAGAAAGGATCTGCTTCATTTTCGGAAGGAAAAGTGGAAAGTGGAACGGAAGACTGATGTTATAATAGAATGAAGAAGATTATAAAGAGGAAAAAGAACACACAGAAAAGTTTACACCCATAGTGTCTCTGGTTGTCTGTCTATATGGAAGCAATCGACCCTCCTATACGGAGGGAAGTTCCGTATAGGAGGGTCGATTATACAACGTGTAAGTACAATCTTCTCTTGTTATTGCTCACCCATATTGGTTGTTATTTTTTGAATGGCTGCTGTCTGTTTGTCCGCCTTCTTAACCACTCTCAAAAGATGTTTCGTGAAATGTAGGCTTCTGTCTAAATTAATGCCTAGATATTTAGCACAGTTCGTTGATCTTAGCTGATTATTACCTAGTTGGAAGATCAAATCTGGCCTAGCTGTTGGTTCTTTCAGGGCGACCCCTTTGGTCTTATTGTCTGCAAGCTTCAGGTCGTTATTCGTTATACATCTATTTATTCGTACATTCGTTATACATCTATTTACGTCTAGTACACCATTATATAGTACATTCCATAACGTTGGGTCTAAGATGAAGCGTTGCGGTACGCCGGCTATTAATCTGATCTTTGTGTTTCTAGCTACTGAAACATATCTATCACTGAAGTTTTTTTTTATGATGTTTATTAAATATCTCCACATTGTGGCGGTTTCAAATTTGTTTATAATGTGCGCTCAAGGACAGAGTTAAAAGCATTCTTCACATCCTTAAAACGACCCATCTTTTCCTTCTGGTCTTGACAGTGTTGATGATATGTGTAATCGCATCTACTGCTGATTTTATTTTTCTAAATCCATATTGTCTTTTTTCATTAACTCGCCTTCAAGGCGATTTTTGACAAGATTCATGTAGAGTTGTCCTAAACACAAAGTACAGACAGTCAAGAACAGAAGACGGCCGATATGCACTGGCTTCATCCGGATCTTTGCTGGATTTAGATATAAGTGTAATCCTCGTGAGCTTGAGCTGGTGGGGGAATTCTTGTCTTGTCAGCAGCTGAATGAGAATTTTTCTTAATGATTCTGGTTGTAATGAGGGTAATAGTTTTATTACCGCCTGGTGGTTGGCGGTCTGGTCCAGGGTTTACCTACTTCGAAGGAAGCTGCGGCTTTTATGAGTTCTGCAAGACCTACATTGTCCGAACAGGTGTGTTCATTTATAGCAAAGATTGTAGTGCGATTACTGTTAAAAAATATGTTGACAATTTGCCTTCTTTTTTATCACACAGGTTATACCGGGTTACTGACTTAAGCGGTTTGGTAGCTATTCTGTAAGCCCCGCCCCATACGCCGTTCTTCAACGCCACGCACAAGTTTTGCCAGTATGTGCGCTTAGTGTTCTTGATTAGCCTATTTAGCTCTTGTTTGACGCGTTTGTATTCGTTCTTTGTCTGCTGTGACCTAGTTCTCTGTGCGATTCGGCTTATTCTAAAACATTCTATCTGTTGTTGTTAGATTTCATCATTTCACCAATATAGTACGGTATATGCGACATGTTTACTCTTACTGCTCAGGTTGTGTGCTTTAATGATTTCTTTCGTAAAGTTCAAAAAGTCGGTAGTTTCTTTATGTTAGTTGATTATTTTTTTCAGCAAGAAATTTTAATAGAGAAGTCTACAGAATACAACAAACCATTGGCACTAATATTTGTCGAATACCATAAGCATTCGATACCATAAGCCATCAGCAAATATTAAAACCATTGACAGAATTCCGAATGGACCATCGCTACACTAACATAATTAAATATATCTACCAAAATGACATAGCTACCGTAAGACCATCTAAACAAGGAACCAATAAATTCTGTATAAAGCGAGGAGTACGACAAGGAGACACAGTCTCTACAAAGCTATTCAGGACGCTTTTAGAATATACTTGTAAGAAGGCACATCTGAACAAGCATGGTATTAACATAAACGGAGAGAAGCTCAGTTATTTGAGATTTGCAGATGACATCGTCCTTATAGCCGATCATATGGATGATGCATTAATATTGTTTTAAAAATTATATAACGCTTCCTTGGAGGTCGGACTAAAGATTAATATTAACAAAACGCAAATAATGAATAATCTTGTGCTAAATCCAAATATTGCTGTTGATGGAAGGGATATTGTGCAGACAAAAAAGGTTCAGACAAAAAAGATCGCATCGTTAAAATAAAATTGGGCAGGACATTTCGTCAGATTATCAGACAACCGATTGACAAAACGTATGTTAGAGTGGAGATCAAGGCAAGAAGCAATACCGAGCAGAGAACGCCCACTAACTAAATGGACTGACGACCTGAAGCGTGTTAGCAATAACTAGATGCAAACCGCACAAGACAGAGACAGATGAAGAGAGCTAAGGCTATGCCCAGCAGTGGACGCATACAGGTTGATAATAATGATATTGATGAATAGGTCTGACTCTTTCACTAAACCTTTTCATTCTTATTTAAGCAATTCGTTTGTAATTTAGTACAGCTCGGAACTTCTCCCTACTGTCATGCTGTAGCCCTTGTTTGGTATTGTTTTAATTTTGATATTGTAATGTAAACATAGCAAGAAAGTAAAGATTAAAATAAAGGATTGTAGCATAGGGTAGAATAAAAATCATTTTAATGATTATTATATATTCCAAATCAAATAAGGGATAATTAATACAGTAAAGTATACATTTTAAATTACACAAAGAAATTAACCTAGTTAGTGCATTGTTTGATAATTGTTTAAACGTGGAAAAAGCACGTCAAACAGAAACTATTGTTGTAAAAATATCACCGCTCGTGACCCAAATAACGCGTAGGACTTACAACTCAGCGGAAACACGACCTTGGCACTATAACCGGCATTGAAAATACGAGCCTAATAAAAACAAAAAGAACAAAGAAGTCGGGGCAGTTAGTAAAAGCTGGGCACCGTGACTGCCCGCTCAGGCAGTGATTGCCGGCCCCGGGTCGGAGGCGGTAGCGTCAGTCGGTGTCTTCGGGCAGGGTGGTAAATACGAGGGTATCACCAGGTGCGGATTACGCGCGATTGTTATATTTCGACGGGGTATAGTTCCGTATAAGTATCGGGTACTGAAAGAAATCCGATTTCCGGAGAAACTAAAGGGCGTATCATTAGCTAGAGCCTAAATACGCGAAAGGTAACAAAATTCTATATGCTAACCCAAGTAAATTATAGTAATACAGATTGTCACCCCTTTACTTTCTTGCTAAATTTCTTCTCGTCTCACTTCGCGCCGAACGAGTTATTATTACTTATATCTGACAGTTTGTTAACTTAATTGTAAACCACATATTATATTCAATACATTTGTAGACTCTAAAATTTTATGTTCCCTCCGACCGATTCAGACAGAGACCAGAAGAGTACCAAATTTGGGCTTATACATTTATCCGGCTTCTAAAGTAAGCCCATAGACTCAAACTCTTTACAGGACCTGAGACCTAGAAGTTCTTAACCCCTATTCCGAAGTTCCTTACCTTCTCGTAAATCCACGAAGGCGAGCCAGCCCTCCAGACTAGTGGGACCAGTATTCTCTGCAGCCGCTCGCAGGAATAAGCATCCTTTAAGGTTCATTACCAGTATATTACAGTGGTAACAGCGTTGAACAGTGGTGAAGATTTTCTCACCCTCTAGTTCCAGATGTTACAATAGGGGATATAACCCCCCTCGCTAGTTGTACAATATTTTCAATATTGGTTGCAGTAACTTATATTTTCTGATATCTAAATAAATATCAAGAGTGTCTAATTTCCTTAATTTTATATACTAGTTCTGTTTCGGAAATGCTTTCTTAAGAAGTTTTAATTAAAAATGTCCAAGGTTAAGCATTTTAGGGTGCGTTTTCAGCTTGCATTATTGTTTGTCTTTTTTTTTAGAATTAAAACAAATAATTCGAAAGATAACTAATTTTGATATTATGTTCATATAGAGAATATATTGTCAGTCGCTTATTAATTAATTTTTTTTAGGGTGACGATAAAACAATGCCACTTCGCATGGTTTTGTTAGATTTCCAAGCAGTTTGTCTTCATTCACCAGTAATCGATATTTCCTATTTTCTATATATAAATATATCCCCAACTGAAGTTACAAAACTCAAAGATTTTATAGAATATTATTATACTGAGTTTTGCTCATATCTGAAACAATTAGGTAGTGATGCTGACAAAGTATTTCCGCGAAGTATTTTCGAAGAACATTTAAAAAAATACCTGCCCTATGGTGTGTTTTTGACACTACCCTGCTTAGAAATATTATATCTTGAAAATGATGATACACCAGCTCTTTTTGATGAAGAAACCAAGGAGTTCTTTGGGGGTTTGCCTAAAGACCTAAAGATAAAATCCCGGGACAAATATTTGCAACGTCTGGTAGCTTTAGTGGATAGCTTTTTCAACGGACCATTTGCATAAATACAAAATTATCCTGGACTTTTTGGTAATATTATTGATCAACCATTAAAGTACAAAAATTTTGTAGTGATAGTTTTGAATAAAGTAATAATTTATTTTTCAAAAGGATTTTTTATGGGTTATGGGCTATGGGTATTGGGTGGATACTTCTCTGAGATACCGACAGGGGATTGATCTACTACAGGAATAACATATTGGCCACGCAAGCTCATGGACTTCTTTAGCCTTCCATTCCCGGGAAAACCATGTCCAATCCCAAAGCATTTCCATCTTCATCCTTTTCTCCCCCCACTTCCAAACCATCTCGCCTACACGCACCTGACAAGTGTGGCGTTTTAATAGTTTAAAAGCACAAAAGGTATTTCCCATAAAAGACGAAACTACTAAACGGCCCCCAGTCTCCGATGGTTCCAATACCCACGATCAAGGTAACGGTTGGAACAGGTTTGGAGCAGAGGAAAAGCAACAAATAAATATTACTTCGTACAACGTTAGAACTCTTATATCAGATCAGAAAATGATGGAACTGGAGAAAGAGATGAAGAGAATACAGTGGGACATCATTGGCCTCAGCAAAATAAGACGAAGAGGAGAAGCCCAAATTACTCTTAAATCAGGAAACGTATTTTATTTAAGAGGAGGAAAATACACTCCAAACAGTGGAGTAGGATTCATTACACATAGAAAGCACACACAAAATATAGTTAAAATAATCAGCATAAGCTCGAGCATTGTACATATCATCTTCAAACTAAATGCAAGATATAACCTTAAGGTAATCCAGACATAATATGCTCCAACAACTTTTCACTTGTGAAATGTAAATGTGAAAATGGGGTTTAAACAAGATTATGCAGAAGTAGTAGTGGGAAGTATGGATGTGGCAAAAGAAATAAACGATGGCAAAGATTGCTGAATTTCTTACACCAGGAAAATTTATTCATGAGAACTCCTTTTTTTTTTGATAAAAAGCCTCAGCGTAAATAGAGGTTAATCAGCCCAGATGGCAGTGTCAAAAATAAAATAGAATATAATTATAAGAAACAAAAGAGAAATAATAAAAGACATCGAGGTGCTCAACAATTTTTAATACGAAGCGAATACATATTAAAGTAAGCTAAGATTCAGAGCAAAGATGATCCAAAAAATCAAAAAAAAAAGAAATGGCTTCCCTCAGAAAACAACGACCTGTATAAAATAAACTAACCAGATATATACAAGACTTACAAGGTAAACTAGAAGATGTAGGTTAAGCAAATGATGGCAAAACAAAAGCTCTAAAAGAAACTGAAAGGGAGTTCTGCCCGACCGGTCTGACCAACAAAGAAAAACTAAGTCAAAATACAAAAGAGCTAATAAAAATTTTATTTAAAGAACTTCTTTATAAAAGATTTAATAAAAAATACCCTATCGGGCTTCATTACAGAACATTTTCTTAATTACGATTCCATCGTCAGTGTTATCTGGATGTACATGTTGGAAGCCACTAAATATATGGATAAAATCCTTTAAATGTTGGTAGATTAACTTTAAGTTACATTTATTAAAATTATAAACTATGATGTTTTCAGAGTTGCTTTCAACAAGTCCTCACAAACACTTCGTCTAAGGACTAGCAACCTCAGTCGAGTCTTAGGTTACCATGTAATCAATTCATTTTGTAACTTAAACATCATAGGTTATAATTAAAAAATGTAGCTCAAAGTTAATCTAACAACATTTACAGATTTTACATCCATATTAATTATTACTAAATTGGGAATAAGCCACAATTAAAGCTTAAAGTAAGTTTATTGACGTTTCAATTTTCACTTCAAAAATCGTTCTCAAAATACAAACATTAGTAAATTAAACAAATTTTGTTTTTTTTGTTACTTGGTGAACAATTCTTTTAATAATTTAATTTTATCTGACTCATTTATATTGGCAATTAAGACATAAATTATACATTTTAACTTAGACGACTTTAAAATGGAATTGCCAATATTGTTGAGTTGCGTTCCTGGGACGACTTTACTTGTAAGATAGTTCATTCGTTTATATGAAGTCAACTTTGACTTGAGAATATCCGTCACAAAAAAAATCATGGCATGTATTTTTTTTAAAACGACAAACACATACCATAATAAGAGTCAAATTTTCCTAATAGTAATTCCATAGTAAATTATTAGGGAAAAACCAGGAAAAAAGCTCATAATACTATCCCGACATGGTAAGTTTTTGGACGTGCATTTGGTTTACCCTCAATAAATACCAAATTCTAATTTTTTATGTTTGTTATTTAAAAAACATAAATTGTATTTCCTCCATAAGTTACTGACTTACTAATACTGATATTTTCCTTTTAATAACTTTCTATTTTAATATGGGTAAAAAGATCCCACTACATTCTGCCGAGGAATTTGCGACACAGTTGGTCTCATTTAGCATAATTAGACCCGCTTCTTTGATTTTTCTCTTTTTATTATCCGATTCTTTTAGGACTATATTTGAGTTATTCCATTGAACCCTATGTTCATTATTCCATGCGTGTTTACATATTTAAAATCTATCAATTTTTCTATTTTTAATATAAGGCTGATGTTCACTTATTCTAATATCTTATGGTCTCGATGTTTTACCTAAATAAAACTGATGGCATTTACAAGGTATTTTATAAATACAATTCTTTGTCCTTTCTTGTTCATTGTTAGGTTTGGTTTTAGACAAAATAGATCTCAATGTGTTTGTTGTTTTGAATGTTGTTGAAATGTTAAATTTATTTCTTATCCGTTTAAGTTTTTTTGATAATCCTTTTATGTATGGTATTGTAATTTTCCTTGTATTATTCCTTGTGTATTCTATAGGATTTCGTTCTAAGTTGTTTTGTTGTATTCGGTCGATTGTTAAAAATTCCTTATATATAAACGGTTAAGTATGATCATTCTTTAATAAAACAGATGTTAACAAATGTTTCCCTTTCAAGAACGAATTTTCGTTAGAACAAGCAATTTTGGCTCTATCGTATAAGCATTTATTGATTCCCTTTTTAATATTATTATTGTGATTTAATTTGAAATTTAAATAACAGTAAAAAAACATAAACACTGTTTGTATTTTGAGAACGATTTTCGAAGTGGAAATTGAAACGTCAATAAACGTATTTTTATCTTTAATTGTGGCTTATTCCCAGTTAAATAGTAATTAATTTAAAATGACACAAGAAAATAGCTTCAGAACAAGATTAAATATCTGTTGGTGTGTATTGGTTTTCTGTACACCTGAGTCTCATATCCAGTATCGTTCTAGGCGATTAAAACATCCAGGAAAGGTAGTGTTTTATTATATTCCTTTTCCATGGTTAATGTTATTTTCTCTTCTTTATCGTTTATACCATCTAATAATGTGTCCAACAACTGATAGTTGATGATGTCTATTTGATAGATTGACAACTGTCAATATATTTAGTGCAGTATAGCACTGGCTTGAAGTCAACGAACTGTTTTTAGAAAAATATACTACCAATTGCTAGGTATGATATTTCAAGTTTAGCTCATGGTGGTACCTTTAATTCTTTCTACAAATATTAATTTTTCTTGTATAACAAAATGTGCCTTTCTACTGAATGACTCCTTTTTAAAAAAAATCTACAAGGAAAACAATTCCTGTAGCTGGCTGTATACCACGTATCACAAAAAAAGAGGTTAGTCTTTGTAAATGGGTATATTTATTTATAAATTAATTAAATAAATTAAATAAATATACCCACTTACAAAGACTAACCTCTTTTTTTTACTCCTTTTTAAAGTTTTCATTTATTAAGAAAAAGAATCTTAATCTACACTTTATTTGTGTTTATAGATCATCTCATTCTTCCATGAAACCTTTTTTCAGAACCGGTTAAATTTGTTAGACGACCTATCTAATAAAAGCAGAAAGATTCTATGTATATATAGTTCAGCTCAACAGGCCTCAAAGGCCTAAGTATTTAATGGTTTTCTTCCATTTCTTTTTATCTTATGCTAAGTTTTTCCAAGCTTGTACCCGCAGCGACTTCAGATCTTCTTTTGCCGACTCCAGCCATTTTCTGCGAGGGCGGCCTCTTTTTCTTTTTGTACCGGCCTCCGTGTTTATTAATTCATTGGGAACTCTTCCTTCCTTCATTCTTGCTACATGTCCGAGCCATCTTAATCTTTGAATTTTAGCTAGTCTTGGTATTTTTGGTTGCTAATATATTTGCATTATTTCTTCATTCGTTCTTCTTCGCTAGATGTTCCCCTCTTTTACACCTCTGTATATCCTTCTAAGAATTTTTCGTTCCCATTTATCTAATTTTACTTCCATATCTTTATTTAGTGTCCTGTATTTAGTGCATAGAGTACTGTAGGTCGGATAACTGTTGTATATATTCGTTTTTTTGCTGTTCTGGATATTATCTTCGACCTCAGTATCTTAGTCAGGCTCCCAGCACGCTTACTACCTTTGGCCATTCTTTTATGATTTCTTGGTTCTCTTCGTTCCTATTTGTTAGTGTCACTCCCAAGTAATTGAATTGGCTAACAACTTTAAAGTTATATTCTTTACTTGGGCTTTGTATCTTAAAGGACTGTCCTAAATGGTTTTCGTTTCCCCTCATTACCATATACAGAGTGGCCCAAAAGTCTTCACACGGACATCAGGTGGTTGAGACGCGGAAAATTCCTAGAAAGGTTTCAAGAATTATTGCCCGAAATAACAGCTTTTCTAGACGAAAGAGGTGATGACGCTCAGATTTTGAAAAACGAAAAATGGCTAAATGATTTGGCATTTTTGACTCACATCACAATGCACTTACACACCGTTAACTTGGAAATTCTAGGTAAAGGAAAAACTATTATTGAGATGATTAGCGCAGTAAACGCATTCAAAAGTAAATTGCAACTTATGATAGATCAACTGAAAAGAAAGGATCTGAAACATTTTCCGTCTTTGAACGCAAGGATTTCTCAGTTGAATTATGATACGTATGAGGCTGAATTATC